GCATGCTCCGGTAGATGGTGATAGACAGGGAAGCCTGGCATGCTGCAGTCCATGGGGTCTCAAAGAGTTGGACATGACTGAGTGACTGAACTAAACTGAACACCCTGCTATGAGAAAAATGATAATCAGATTAGGATTACAATGGAACTCACTTAGCCTGCAAAGGGCATCTATGAAAAACCCACTGCTAATATCATACGTAATGAAATAAAATTTATATTTTTAGGCAGGGCAAGAAAAAATTAAACACAAACTCTCTGTGTTTGTTTGGGCCTCCCCCCGCTTCCTAATGTGCAGTAAGCCTCTGCATTATACATTAACCAGGGCTCTTATAGGATGGGGCTGCCTGCTCAGCTGCAAAGATCAATACTTCTTTTTTCTTCTGATGCTAGCAATGTATATAGCATTCTTTCCTGACTCTGCAGGGGGTCATGGTGACTTGCTGCTGGCTTTGTATGTGCTTACCTGGACTATGTGTCTTTGGTGAACTTCATGTGAAATACCAGTATGTCATTTTTTAAAAAAATTAAGTTATTTATTTGGCTGCTTTGGGTCTTAGTTGTGGCATGTGGAATCTTTGTTGAGGCACGCGGGATCAGTAGTTGTAGGGTACGGGCTTAGGTGTTCCATAGCACATGGGACTTTAGTTCCTCGACTAGGGATTGAACTCATGTCCTCTGAATTGCAAGGTGAATTCTTCATCACCGGACCACCAAAACCCCCAGTATGCAATTTCGATGTACAATCCTGTGTCTCAAAAATGTATATAATTATGCCTTTGACGTCTAACAGGTAGAGCAGTTCTCAGAGCTTTCTGTGAATCTGCTTCCCGGAGTACAATTCTCAAGTTCCAAAATTTCTGTTTTTTCTGACTTGATAATTAACTGAATTTTCATGACATACTTAATAATGAAAGGCTAAATGCTTCCCGCTTGAGATCAGGAAAAAGTCGAACATATCCACTCCTGCCACTTCTACTAAATACTGCAAGAGAGGTTTTAGTTGACACAATCAGGATTTAAAAAGTGTCATATGAATGAATGAATCAGGTTTTGTTTGCTCATTTGGCGGACATGGAAACTGAGGTCCACAGAGAGGCAGGGAGTTGTCCAAGGTCACCCAACTAGTGATTGGCGGAGTGGGACCATCCCAGGTCTCCTCCTTCAAGTCAGAGTTCCAGAGTCCT